AACACGTACGCTCACCCTAAACCGTTGTCGTACCCTAACCTGTACCCAAAACTGTCCCCGTCCCCTAAACCTTAAACCTAAACGTAACCCTAACCCTTACCCAGAGCCTTAACCTGACCCGTCCCCTAATCCTAACCCATACCCTAACACGTACGCTCACCCAGAAGCGTTGTCATACACTAACCTGTACCCTAAACCATCCCCAACCCCTAACCCTCTCCCCATCACCTACCCTAACCCTAACCCTATATCTTACCCGTAGCCTTACCCTAATCCGTCCCCTAATCCTAACCCGTATGTAAACACTAACCCGTACCCTAAGACACACACTCACCCTAAATCGTTGCCATACCCTAACCTGTACCCTAAACAGTCCCCGTCCCCTAACCCTAGCCCTAACCCTAACCCTAACCCTTAACCAAAGCCTTAACCTAACCCGTCACCTAATCCTAAACCGTACGCTAACACTAATCCGTACCATATCACGTACGCTCACCCTAAACAGTTGTCGTACCCTAACTTGTATCCTAAACCGTCCCCATCCCCTAACCCTAACCCTAAACCTAACACTAACCCTTGCCCGAAGCCTTACCCTAACCCATCCCCTAATCCTAACCAGTACCCTAACACGTACGCTCACCCTAAACCATTGTCGTACCCTAAACTGTACCCTAAACCGTCCCCATCGCCTAACCCTAACCCTAAACCTAACTCTAACCTGAAGCCTTACCCTAAACCGTACCATAATCGTAACCCGTACACTAACACTAACCTGTACCCTAAAACGTACGCTAACACTAAACCATTGTCATACCATAACCTGTACCCTAAACCGTCCCCGTTCCATAACCCTAAGACTAACCCTAACCCTAACACTTACCTGAAGTCTTAAACTAACCTGTACCCTAATCCTAACCCATACACAAACACTAACCAGTACCCTAACATGTACGCTAACCGTAAACCGTTGTCATACCGTAACTTGTACTCTAAACCGTCCCCGTTCCCTAACCCTAACCCGTACACTAACACTAACCATACCCTAACATGTATGCTAACGCTATACCATTGTCGTAACCTAACCTGTACCCTAAACCGTCCCCGTTCCCTAACCCTAACCCTAAACCTAACCCTAACCCTTACCCGAAGCCTTACCCTAACACGTACCATAAACCTAACCGTTACACTGACACTAACCCGTATCCTAACATGTACACTAACCCTAAACCATTATTGTACCCTAACCTGTACCCTAAACCGTCCCCATTCCCTAAACCTAACTCTAACCCTTACCCGAAGGCTTCGCCTAACCCGTACCCTAAACCCAACCCGTACACTAACACTAAGCCGTACCCTAACATGTACGCTACCCCTAAACTTTTAACATACCCTAACCTATACCCTAAACCGTCCCCGTTCACTAACACTAACCGTAACCGTAATCCTAACCCTTACCCGAAGCCTTACACTAAACCATACCCTAATGCTGACCCGTACACCACCACTAACCCATACCGTAACAGGTAGGCTAACACTAAACCGTTGTTGTACCCTAACCTGTACCCTAAACCGTCCCGGTTCCCTAACCCTAACCCTTACCCGAGGCCTTACCCAAACCCATACCCAAATCCTAACCCATACACTAACACTAACCCATACCCTAACACATAAGCGAACCCTAAACCATCGTCGTACCCTAACCTGTACCCTGAACAGTCCCCGTTCCCTAACACTAACCCTAAAACTAACCCTAACCCTAACTTTTACGTGAAGCCTTACACTGACCCATACCCTAATCCTAACCCGTACACTAACACTGAGCCATACCCTAACACGTATACTAACCCTATACTGTTGTCGTACCCTAACCTGTACCCTAAACCGTCCCCGTTTCCTAACCCTAACCCCAAACCTAACCCTTACCCGAAATCTTACCCTAACCCTTACCCTAATACTAACCCGTACACTAACCCTAACACTTACCCTAATCCGTACATTAACCCTAAACCATTGTCGTACCCTAACCTGTACCCTAAACCGTCCCCATTCCCTAACCCTAACCCTAACCCTTAACTGAAACCTTACCCTAACCCGTAACCTAATACCTACCCATATCCTAACACGTACGCTAACACTAAACCTTTGTCATACCCTAAACTGTACCCTAAACCGTCCTCATTCCCTAACCCTAACCCTAACCCTTACCCGAAGCCTTACCCTAACCTGTACCCTAATCCTAACCCATACAATAACACTAACCCGTACCCTAACAAATACGCTAATGTTAAACCTTTGTTGTACCCTAACCTGTATCCTAAACCATCCCCATTCCCTAACCCTAACCCTAACCCTTACCCGAAGCCTTACGCTAACCCGTACCCTAATCCTAACCCGTACACTAACACTAACCCGTACCCAAACACGTAGGCTAACCCTAAACCATTGTCGTACCCTAACATGTACCCTAAACTGCTCCCATTCCTTAACCATAACCCTAACACTAACGTTTACCCAAAGCCTTACCCTAACCTGTACCCTAATCCTAACCCGTACACTAACACTTACCCGTACCCTAACATGTACGCTAACCCTAAACCATTGTCGTACCCTAACTTGTACCCTAAACCATCCCCATTCCCTAACCCTAACCCTAAACCTAACCCTATCCCTAATCCTTACCCGATGCCTTACCCTAACCCGAACACTAACACTAAACCGTAACTTAACACGTATGCTAACCCTAAATTGTTGTCGTACCCTAACCTGTACCCTAAACCGTACCCGTCCCCTAACCCTAACCCTTACCCTAATACTTAACCGAAGCTTTACCCTAACCCGTACCCTAATCCTAACCCGTACACTAACACTAAACCGTACCCTAACACGTACACGAACACTAAACCGTTGTCATTACCTAACCTGTACCCTAAACCATGCCCGTTCCTTAACCGTAACCCTAACCGTAACCCTTACCCAATGCCTTACCCTAATCCGTACCCTAATCCTAACCCATACACTAAAACTAACCCATACCCTAACACGTATTCTAACCCTAAAACATTGTCGTACCCTAATCTGTTCCTTAAACCATACCCGTTCCATAACCCTAACCCCAACCCTAACCGTAACACTTACCCAAAGCTTTACCCTAACCCATACCATAAACCTAACCCGCACACTAACAGTAACACCTACCCTAACACGTATGCTAAAACTAAACTGTTGTTGTACCCTAACCTATATCCTAAACCGTACCCATTCTCTAACACTAACCCTAACCCTTACACACGAAGCGTTACACTAACCGGTTCCCTAATTCTAACCCGTACCCTAACAGGTACGCTAAACCTGAACCGTTGTTGTACCCTAACCTCTACCCTAAACCTTACCCTTTCCCTAAGCCTAACCCGAAGCCTAACCCTAAACATAAACTTTACCCGAAGCCTTACCATAACCTGTACAGGAATCCTAACCCATACACTGACACTAACACATACCCTAACATGTACACTAAACCTAAACCGTTGTCGTACACTAAACTGTACACTAAACCGTACTCATTCTCTAACACTAACCCTAACTCTTTCCCAAAGCCTTACCCTAACCCGTTCCCTAATCCTAACCCGTACACTATCCCGTAACCTAATATTTACACTAAGCCTAAACCGTTCTCATATAATAAACTGTACCCTAAACCATACCTATTCCCTAAACCTAACCCTTACCCTAACCCTAACCCTTACCCGAAGCCTTACCCTAAATCGTAACGTAATCCTAACCCGTACACTAACACTAACTCGTACCATAACACGTACGCTAACCCTAAACTGTTGTTGTACACTAACCTGTACCTTAAACCATATCTGTTCCGTAACCGAAACACTAAACCTAACCCTAACCCTAAACTGTCGTCATACCCTAAGCCGTACCCTAAACTGTACCCATTCCCTATGCCTAACCCTAACACTAACCCTAACTCTAACCCTTACCTGAAGCCTTACCCTAACCCGTACCCTAATCCTAAACCATACACTAACACTTACCCATACACTAACACGTTCATTAACCCTAAGGGTTTGTCATACCCTAACCTGTACCCTACACCGTACCCGATCCCTAAACCTAACCCTAACCCTAACCTGTACTCGAAGCCTTTTCCTAACCCGTACCATAATCCTAACCCTTACACTAACACTAAACATTACCCTACCACGTACACTAACCATAAACCGTAGTCGTACCCTATCCTGTACCCTAATCTGTACCCGTTCCTTAACCCTAACCCTAACACTAACCTTACCTTAAGCCTTACGCTAACCCGTACCCTGATTCTAATCTGTACACTAACACTTACCCATACAATAACACATACGCTAACCCTAAACCTTTGTCGTACCCTAACATGTACACTAAACCATAGCATTTCCCTAAACCTAACCATAACCCTAATCCTAACCCTTACCCGAAGCATTACCCTATCCTGTACCGTAATCCTAAACCGTATGTTAACACTATCCCGTACTCTACCATGTACACTAACCCTAAACATTTTTAGTTCCCTAACCTGTACCCTAAGCTGTAACCATTCCCTAACACTAACCCTAACCCTAACCTTAACCCTAAACCTTTCCTGAAGCCTTACCCTAAACCGTATCCTAATCCTAAACCATACACTAACACTTACCCATTCACTAACATGTGTGCTAACCCTAAACAGTTGCCGTACCCTAAGCTGTACCCTAAACCGTACCCGTTCCCTAATCCTAACCCTTACCCAAAGCATTACCATAACCCGTACCCTAATCCTAACCCGTACACTAACACTAACCTATTCCTTAACACGTACGCTAACCCTAAACCGTTGTTGTACCTTCACCTGTACCCTAAACAATACCCGTTCCCTAACCGTAACCCTAACCCTAATCCTTACCCGATGTCTTACCCTAATCCGTACCCTAATCCTAACCCGTACACTAAAACTAACTCATACCCTAACACGTACTCTAATCCTACACCGTTGTCGTACCCTAACCTGTACCCTAAACCATACCCGTTCTATAACCCTAACCCTAACACTTACTGTAACCTGTACCCTAATACTAACCCATACACTAAAACTAACCCATACCCTAACACGTACCCTAAACTTAAACCATAGCCATACCCTAAACTGTACACTAAACCTATCCCATACCCTAACCCTAAACCATACCCTCAACCCTACCCTTACCCTAACCCATACCCTAACCCTAACACATACCCTAACCCTAAAGCTAGACATACCCTTAACTGTACCCTAACCCTAACCCGAAACCATACCCTAAACTGTACCCTACTACTAACCCGTACCCTAACACTAAACCATGCCCTAACCCGTATCCTAATCCTAACCCGTAGCCTTACCCTCACCTGTACCCTAAACCTCCCACTAAACCTAACCCTAACCCTAACCGTAACACAAACCCTAACCTTAACCCTAACCCGTACCCTAACCCTAACCCATACCCTAGCCCTGAACTGTACCCTAACACTAACCTGTACCCTAATCCTAACCCATACCCTAACCCGTAACCCAAACCCTAATCCTTACCCCTAACTTAATTTATATTTTTTTGTATTTAAGAAAATATTTTTCTGGGACTTAAACAAATTAGCAGAACAACAAAATAAATCAGAAGCTAACCTGACTGTCCCTCAAAATGCTAAGTCTTAAATACTTGGTACTCCTGTTCTATGGACTGTTATGTAGCCTGTAAAAAGTGTGAGAGTTAAATCTGTTTTTCTACAGTCAGAAACATGATGTTCCAGATGTAACGAACACCTGGATAAAATGAGAAAGCTACACATTATGCTGGTCGTTTCAGGGAATGGGAAAGGATGGCAAGTGGTAAAATATTTTCTTTTCCTTTAACCTTTCAAATTTCACTTGTTACAAAGTACTTGAATTATAATTGTACTTTTAAAGAGTAACAATGGAAATTTAAAAGAAAAATATATATATATATAGTGTGTTTAATTACATTTCATAGAATTTTTATCCCTGAATCATAATTCTGTTAGTACAACAGTTTAGAGTTTATTTCTTAATATTTAGGCGAGAACCATTTCCTTCTGTTTTTGAGAATAATTCTGTAAACTCATTTCCAGTAATGGCACTCTTCCCCAAATCAAAGGTTTAACAAGGGAGCTGCAAGCAGAATAATCATGAAAACACAAAGCAATAAAACAGCAACAAAAAATTTCTAACCTCCAATAACAGCTCAATTTACAAGAGAGTTTATATCTTCAGAACAAAAGCATTCCTCCTTAACTTTCTAAACAGTCAAAATCTGTATATTCTACATAAAATCTGTGATGTTATTCCCATAAAACTACCTTTTAGTGCTTCTGCCTCCATTAGATGTCCTAAGCACTAGTGTTTTAATGTAGAGGTTAAAAAAAATTCTAATGTGATTTATTTATAATGTGTGTGTTCTTTGTCTTATCCTATTGTCTAAAGTTTTCTCCATGGTTGGACCACAAATAATATTCCTTTACGTGCTAAGTGATATCTGGAGAGTGGGAGAGGTTTAATAAATACCCTAACGCTAAAGTGTACCGTAACCCTAACCTGTACTGTAACTGTAAACAATACCCTAACCCTAACCCTTACCCTAACCCCTACACTAACTCTAAACCTAACCCAAACCCTAAACTATGCCCTAGCCCATACACTAATCCTAACCCGTGCCCTGACACTAACCCTAAACCTAACTCGTACCCTACCCCTAACCCTTAGTCATAACCTAAGCTGTACCCTAACCCTAACCCGTACCTTAACCCTAACCTTAAACCATACCCTAACCCATACCCTAATCCTAACACATAACCTAACACTAACCCTTACCCTAACACGTACCCTAACCGTACACCGTAGCCATACCCTAAAATGTACCCTAACCCTAACCAGTTGGCATACCCTAACCTGTACTCTAAACCATACCCATGCCCTAACCCCAACCGTAACCCTTACCCTAACCCGTACCCTAATCCTAACCCATACACTAACACTAACCCATACCCTAACCTGTCGCCATACCCTAAACTGTACCCAAAACGTATCCTGTACGCTAACCCTAACCCTAACCCTAAACCCTACCGTAACCCATACCCTAATCCTAAACCGTGTCCTAACACTAACCCGTACCCTAACCCTAAACCGTAGCCATACACTAAACTGTACCCTAAACCTAACCCGTACTCTAACCATAAACCGTACCCTAACCTGTACCCTAATCCTAACCCGTACCATAACAATAAACCGTACCCTAACCCCATCCTAACCCTAACCCTTAGCCATACCCTATCCTGTATCCTAAACTGTACACTAACCCTAACCCTAAACCTATCCCTAACCCGTACCCTAACCCTAATGCATACCCTTACACTAACCTGTATCCTAACCCTAACCCGTACCCTAACCTGTATGCTAACCTGTGCCCGAAACCCTAATCCATACCCCCAACTTAATTTTTTTTGGGGGGGGTATTTTAAAAAACACTTTTCTGGGGTTAAAACAAATTAGCAGAACAACAAAATAAAACAGAAACTAACCCAGTGTCCCTCGAAAAGCTAAGTCTGAAATAGTTGGTACTTCTGTTCTATGGACTGTTATGTAGCCTATTAAAAGTGTGAGAGTTAAATCTGTTTTTCTACAGTGAGAAGCATGATGTTCCAGATGTAACGAACACCTGGATAAAATGAGAACGCTACACATTATGCTGGTCGTTACAGGGAATGGGAAAGGATGGCAAGTGGTAAAATATTTTCTTTTCCTTTAATCTTTTTAAATTTCACTTGTTACAAAGTACTTGAATTACAATTGTACTTTTAAAAAGTGACAATGGAAATTTAAAAGACAAAATATATATATTGTGTGCTTAATTACGTTTCATAGAATTATTATCCCTGAATCATAATTCTGTTAGTACACCAGTATAGACATTATTTCTTAATATTTAGGTGAGAACCATTTCCTTCTGCTTTGAGAATAATTCTGTAAACTCATTTCCAGTAATGGCACTCTTCCCCAAATCAAAAGTTTAACAAGGGAGATGCAAGAATAATCATGAAAACACAAAGGAATACAACAGC